CCTAGTAGCGTCCTTGCTCCTAGTAGCGATGCCCTTTGCTCCTAGTAGCGTTCTTGTTCCTAGTAGTAAGGCCATGTATGCGTCTTGATTCTTGGATACCCTAGGAATCCTTTGAAACGCCATGTAGCGAGCCTGCGTCCGCTTCCAAGAAACGCCCCGCTGTTCCAGCATATGCTGCATTGTAGATCATTACTCTAACCTCAAGCGCAAAAACAAAACTGACTTGAGGTCGACCAAACGAACAGCAGCATGCGCCTATCCCCTACCTACCTGTCTTTGGCTCTCTCATCTGGGGCCGTGCACATCGCGTCCCTCAAGCATCTCAGAGAAGCTGCTCTCGTTCAGGCGCGCCAAGTCTCGCTTGTAAAGCTCCACCTGCCGTGTCCCCGACAAAGGTCCCTTTCAGTATGTCCTCACTTGGGAGGATCCATGCACATAAAACTCTGACAGGTGCTATTCTAGAAGGCAGCTATGACTTTGGTGAGAACGCACTTACTACTTACTACTTAGTAACAAGTGCATCGCTACAGAATACTAGATTCTTTTTAGATCTTGATGATTCTTGATGTACGTAGATGCATGGTCTTTGCGCCATCCTTTGTTGCGCACGGCAGACTTTGGCCGATGTCCACTATTTCCGTGCCCCTCCGCTCACACGGATCGGAAGGCACCTGTGGCCTCAAAACACCGAATGAAGCTGAAGCCAACAAGTCATCAATGAGATCTTCTTCTACTTTGCCTAGTCGTGAGGTAACATTAGCTAGCTTAGGTTTGGCCTTTCTATTTCCCCGCCGAAGTTCTCATTTTCGGGTGTTCCCAATCAGCAACAGCGGTTTTGATCAACTGATCCACCACACAGTAACTTAGTACTCAGTGCATGCCTGAATCACTGACATTCCACATGCCCACGGTGTGTCCTTCGGGGCCCGGACAGCTCTCGCTCTGTCTTGGAGACTGTTGCGAGCGATGAGCGATTGCCTGGGCGGAAGACCAGCGCAAGGTCGACCAGCGCCCATCGGTGGGGCGTCTCCATCCTTCAGTTGCCGCTGGGGCACGTTCGCTCTCGGAGCCATCGCACCTGCTCTTCGGTCATTTGCTCACTCCAGAAGGAGATGAGGAAGAGGGCAATGCAAAGGAGCCTCATGAAACTAAACATGAAAGACCGAGTGTCTCAAGGGTGTTTCTACGTGTTTCTTGCATTTTCTTGCTGAGGCTCCAGCCCAAACAACTGCTGCCCTACTCGCTTGTGGGCTGTCTGCTTCACACACCACCTTCAGTCGAGAGTTGAACAAAATTGTTCACGTCCTTTCGTTCATCGAAACTCCCAGCGTCTTTCGATCATTTCTGGGCTTCCAGGCACTCCAAGACGCTGTGTGATTTGTAAGGAGATCAAGCAAGTGAGGCCGCTGGAATACCAGAAGTTGGGTGGCAGCCGCTTCAAATTATGAATGAGTTGAGCAAGCCACTCGGTTCTATCCTCCAAGGAAGTCGCCTCAGGTCGTGGCTGCAGTCGTCAGACTGGAAGTAGCACATAGTAATCTTCGATTGCTCTGGCTTGGCCACAGACCTTACAAAAGTATCCTTTGATGGGAAACAGTCAGTTTTAAGTTTTAAGTTTTAAGCCAAAATGCACTCTGTGGAGTGTTCAACTTCTGAGTGATCAATGCCCGATGTCTGTATGCGGCATGAAATCCAGAACTTGCTGCGCAAAGCAACAGGAAGTTGGCAAATCTGCTTTGACTGCGCAGCACTTCCTCCAAGACCTGAGGCCATCATTCCCTACTACCTTCCTTCAGACAAATGGACTCAACCCCCCCAACACCTCACTCTTCAGATCTCAGTCTGTCCAACATCATACCATCTGCTAACCTCTTCAGTCTCTGTCCTGGCACCACGTGGCACCCCGGCTTGGTCGATCAGTCGATTCGCCACATGAACGGCTCGAAGTCCAACTACCTCACGTCGACCGTCGACCGACGGACGGTTTTCGCCACCGTGTCGACAGGAACGGGACATCGCCAGGGCCATGGCCAGGGCCACGGCCAAGGATGCGGAGGACATATCGCCAAGCTCTCCACGCATGTGAGACAGACTCGAGAGGAGTCCTGCACACGGCACACGTCCACGCTTGTGGACTCCACTCGATTGGATTCTAAGGAATGGAATGGATCAGCAATCCAATCAGCACCGCCGCAGTGTTGACCACTGGGTTCAACAGGCAAAAACACATGACGAAGCCCCGATCACTCGGTCCTGACCAGTCGGACACTCGGTCCTGAAGCGTTCGGTGTGGAGGATCGAGGTGTAGGTTTTGGAGAGTACGCTTTAGACCTTGAAAGAACCGTCATCCCAGACGTCCTGCATCTGCTCCCATTTCTGCATCATAAAGAGCGCCATGGCGGTTGGAATGAATGAACTCAGGGGACAAAACCTACCAGCGATGGCCTCCAAAGTAATAGCGATGGCCTCCAACCTACTAACCTCTTCACAAAAATGCCAGGTATTGATGCGAGCGGAAAACGATGACTCGCTCCCAAGACCGTTACCACACTCATCTTCCGGACGCAGAAATAACTTGAGGGATCAAATGCTTGTGCCCAAGCTGACTCTAGATTCACTCTGGTTCTCTTCAGTTGGTCAGACCTCTGTGTTTCAAAGGAAGGCTACAGCTTGCATCACTGCATCCGAAAACCACCTCCATGTCATGCGATAGGTTCCTTCCATGACGTGTCCGCTGCATTCAGCTGTAGGCAAAAAGCTTGTCAAACCCTTCAGCTGAGAAGCCACGAGAGGATTGCTCAAAATGCAATTGTTTCACTGGAGAAGGAGCGCCTTCAGGTCCGGCTTCTTCTCATGAATGGTTTTTCGAACGTCTTCCAAAGGCTTCTCGCGCCTTGCGTTCGGTGAATTCTGCAAAAGAGATGTACGGGTCACTGCTTAGATCCACCTAAGTCGTTCTTCTACAACACACTGAGTGTGTTGCTGTCAGGTCATACAAATCTCCGAGAATCTTCACCTGCTTTGAGGAACCTCATGTCCACGATAGTCCTCCTCAAGTTCCGTCCTATCCCTCCTGGTCGCCTGGCCACTACAATGAGGTTCATGTCAAGGTGCCCCAGCTGATATGCCCATGCCTTGCAGCTGAATAGACGCACACTATTCACCAAATGTGACAGATTCCTGGGAAAAGGAAAAGGTACTAAAGGTCAAATCAAATCGACGCATACAAGTGCTTTGTCTGGTGACATCCCACCTCTCCAAGACCTTCGCTTCCTCCAAGCACCACTGCCCAATGCCCAGGTTTCACGTAGCTCACAGCTCTGGATGACAGGCTTCCTCACTTGGCCAAGTCATTCAGAGCTTCAAGACTGCTCAGCGAAAACACGAGAGAAAGGGACGGAAGACAAAGGCGTCGTACTGCAGAAGGGTCCCACCAGTCCCACCCTGACGGCCATGGCCTGAACGTCAGGAACATGCCATGGAGGGTGTAACTGTAAGAACTTCCGGACTGTCTATTGTTCATGGTAAGCCGAACCTATCAGGACTCCTATGAAACCCAGGCTCGTGGGAAGCCACACTGGCAGGGCACTCGCTGTAAGTGGAGAAAGCATGAGCAAAACATAGCAAAGAAAAGGTGCATCAATCAAGTCAATCAAATCAGATCAAATCCATCAATCTCAGCAAACAATCAAAAAACTCACGTAGGTCGAACCCTTCCGTTTCAGCTTCAACCTTCCATGACCTTCAAAACCGACCTTCCACAGCCCCTTCGCTCCGAGCGGCGATGTGCTTGGAGCAAATAAGCTGCCGCAGCCACCAGGAGGCCCAGCACCCGCAGCCAAGCCCTGGAGTGTCGCAGTTATCTGTCAAGTTTTTATCCTGTCAAGGCGTCCGTGCAGAGAAGCAACCACCGGTGACAGGTCAAAACTGCGGTGCCCGTGAGTTCCCGCGAGTTGTCTGCGCTAGCCGCGCCCGGCCGGTGGTGGCCTTTTGGAGAGGCTGAATCCCAGCATGGCCGAGCGAAATGAAAACCAAAGTGGCAACCTGTCCAACTGCTTGGAGGTCTTCGCCCCCCTGAATGCTGCATATTATGCAATTGCATTGCTAGGGTTTTTGCACATGTGACTTGAAGCAGGGTGAGAGGTTGAGAGGTCAGTCTTGCCCAACAAGGGTTTTCACTCTTGACCAAATGGATGTTGTCACAAATGCTGCGAGCGAGAGCCACGCTGTCGGCTGATGAAGGGGGCGACAATCTAGCTGTTGGGTCTGCCATCCGGTTGTCTCCTCCAGCAGAGTCTTAACAATTGAACTTCACATCGGTCCACGTCATCTTTCTAGATCAATCTTTGCCATCTAAAGAGCCGGCACCTTTCGCGCCGGCCCAATTCGTTAGCTGCGTGGCCCTGGCCAACACTCTCAGGAGATGGTAAGGCACATCAGCCCTGCCATGCCCCTGGTAGTGAAACACTGCACTTTTGTGCAGTTTTCAGGTGGCCTTAATATAGGCCCTGTGGATTCCGTCTTGCAGGGAAAACGAAAACATGGAGGGTTTCTTGTAATCGGGCCTGAACGAAGTTGTTGAATAAAAATGAACATGAATGTCTTGCCCTGTATTGTTGAATGACTGTGCAATCATCGCCTCTCAGCGCAAATTCCCAGCCTCGGAAAAGGCCGAAGAAAATCTTCAGCCAAATCGAGCGAATGCATCCTTACTATCATCCTTGAATCTATGATCCGTGCATCCACTGACTGACACCCCATGACACTTGTCTGCATCCTTCGGATCATCATGCATGATGTCCTCGTCGTTTCGGGCTCCGACTGCTTCAGTCTCCGGAACCATCTCCTCTACCTCCTGAAGGTGTCAAAAGGTGGTGCAGCCCTTGAAATTTCGCGCCAGGTACATGACTCATCGGACGCGCCGCGGAAAGCTCCTGGTGGATGTCCGCGATAGATTCATCACCAGCCTAGGAAGAAAGAAGAAATGTGCGACACGCGACGACGGTGCCAGCAAACTCTCGGTCTAAGCGGTCCTGCATCAAGGCTCAAACCATCCAACAATATATGTCCCATGCAGCACGCGTTTTGCGTCAACGGACATCACAAA